GCAGATAGATAGTAGTGGAACACTTAGGTGATGGGCAGAAAGCAAGAGGATAATTGCTCTGAAACACTATGGTGTTTTTCTACCTGGCAAGTTGTTCTTGCTCCAAACCTTTCTCCCCACAAAAGATATCAGAAGTATACATTCATTCTTTCTTAATTAACTCACCCATTCCACAATCATGGCTAAACTGTTCCATGTGAAATCTTTAGAAGACTCAGCATGTTGGTATAATAAACTTTTGTCAATTTATAAATTATATCAAACAATTTCCTCTTTGAGCAGCAGTAAGATTTTATCAGAAAAAAAAAAAAGGAAGAGAGTAGATTTCTGAAGGAATGGAGATTTCTTCTAAGGTGAAAGAGATGAACAAGAAGGGAGGCAGAAACTATCAAAGGCAAACTTCAAAAGCTTCATACTTTCACCCTGGGTCAGCCCTATTCATTTTCATTTGTACATTGACAAATAGTCTCTGCACAAAAGTTCATGAAATTCCGAGTCAAACTGGGTGGCCACACAGATTTACTGTAGAGAGACCTGAGGTTAAAGTCGGACCAAATGTTAAGGCAAGCATGCTCAATTTTGGCCCTCTTGTTGTGTTATCTGGGTGGGTCATTTAAACTTTCCATGAAGCAATTTTTTTCCACCTGGAAAATAAGTATAGATGTAACCTTTTCTGATTCCCACATCAAGATCTTGTAAGTAAGATAAAAAGATAAAGTAAGATCTTGTAAATAAGATAACATTTTTATTGAGTTATTGAATGTAATAAAAAACTTGCCAAGGCAGACAAACAAAAACTATCACCCTTTGGTATTTGATTTGAAATTCTGAAAACATAAGCCTATACCAAAGTATGTATACATTCATGACTTATTAATTACGTACACGTAGAGAAAGTATGATGATAAACTTTTAACCTGATGATAAACAATCTGAATATCAGAATGGCTTAAGACATATGCAATATACCTTGAAATTAAATATGAATAGTGCACTAACAATATTTCCTGAAGTTCCTTGATGGCTATAATCTCCAGTTTGAAACTATAAGAATCACTGTTAAAAACACAGATTCCTAGGCTCCATCCTATACTGTAACTCAGAATACCCAGAAAATGGGCCTGGGAAAAGCATCCTGGTGTTTTATTTCATTTCTTATGGGTAAACTGGAAACAACTGCTTGACCCTTCTTAAGAACCAACTGGGGTCTATAATGAAATACACATACTTGGGCCCCATCATAGACCGATTAAATCAATAACTCTTCAAGTGGGTCCCCAGAATTGACAATTTTAGCAGCCTCCTCTAGAAAATTTTATGTCTGGTAAAGTTTGAAAAACACTGTTCTCTTTAACATTTTGCAGTAGGGCAGAGTTGGACTTGCTTTATTAAATACTGAAGAACTTATTATAAGAACGTTAAGTGAATGCAAGTAATGTTTGTTAAAACAATGACTTTTTGCTTCTGCTTAAATACATTATATATTTATTGTCTTTGATACCCAATCAAGTAACTTAGTGAGCCTTTCATAAATAATGCAAGGGAAAACTTCAAAGCCGTTTATATATATTTTTATGACTTATAAACTATTAAAGAAAATAACTAAGCTTTATTATCCACTGTATATATTTTATTTTACATATATTTTCAAAAGTTAGTCAAATTTCCCCACAAAATATTCAGATAAAAATAGTATATATACAGCTGTATACTATTTCCTATGCTCTACTATTTGATTTTTATCTCAAATTGAGACCTTATTTCTTGTCCATTAACAAATTTTTCCAAAAGAAGCTTTTTTTGGTTTTATTATATTTTATTTATTCATAATTTTATATTTGTATTTTTCCTGTCTGATATTTACTCTGGCATTTTACATTTTTCCTGTATTTCAATCCTTTATTTTTTTCTATATTTCTTTATTAATTTTTATGGTTTAACATGTTTTTCTTTTACATTTATTTCTGAGTTTTATTTTTAAAAATTATATCCACTTTATACATATTTACTTGTGTCTCTCTTTTTCTTATCATTGAAAGACATGGAACCTTTCTTTCCTTGAATTTTGAAACTCAAAGAACATTCAGTTACAGTGAAGTAGGAAAGCTTGAATCTTTTAGAATTTGCTTCTTTTTATCCATTTGTTTTGTTTTTACGTACAGAAATTGTCATTTTACTCCCACATTAATCAAGATTACATGTTGGGAGGCTGTGACTAGACAACTCTACTTCTTTTAACAATGGAAAGGTCTGTCAAATTCTTCATATAGCTAATTAGCACCAGTGGAAGAAAATCCATATGCCCTCACCTCTGTGAACTTGTCTTACTAGGCGACTTACAATAGAAGATTATAAAACATCCATATTATGAATGTGCTCATGAAATGCAAGATCCTATCTACATCATTTAATGGTATGGTCCATGAGCCATTTTTATCATTTTACCATCAGAAAAATGTTAGTAATAAAAATAAATGAAATTAATTCAATTGACAGCTGTGCATTAATATATGCTCCTATCACATTTTTTAAATGCCTTCCATATATACGAAGCTATATTTAGCAACATGGCATGTGTAAAAATGAGTAAGGTTTGATCAACCTTCAGGTACTTTTAGACTAAAAGGAGAAATAAAATAGAAAGTTATATAGTAAAGTGGAAAATGATGCAAGTCTTAAGATAAACAATTTAGGAACTTACTTTGGGAGATGAGGAAAGGAGAAGCTTTAAGGCATCAGGGAAGGCTTCATACAAAAAGGTGGCATTTGGGCAGAGCTTTAAAAATGGGTTGGTACTGGAAAATGTGATTGGGGACAGCTGGACACTTTCCAGGCCCCCCCCCCAAAAAAAAACAGAGAAAAACATGGAGAAATGTAGGAGGTGGGGAATAATGCAGACGACAGGGTGATTTGGGGAAATACCAATGCAGGTAGCTTAATATGGAAATATGAAGGCACCATTTATACCTATTTGGTGGGAAGAGAATGACATATTAAGTGATCATTAACAGCATTTATCAAGCTCTTACTATGTACCAGGCACTTAGCCAAGCACTTTGTATGCCTTATACAATGTAATCTTCACAATAATAGTGTGAAACAAGTGTTAAGCATGATCCCATTTCACAGATAAGGGGAAAGATGTGAGAAGTGAAATGACCGACCAAGCTGAGTCATTAAATGAATGGCTTGCCTGACCTCAAGGGTAAAGTGCATTTACTGCTTCTAGGATGTTAGCATGACTGCAGAGTGTAAAATAGAATAGAGGAAGGTGGGAATATGGTTAGCAGTCTACAGTGTTTTAAAGCCCAAGAAAAGGACATGAAGGCCTGCCTAAAGTGGTAGCAAGCTGATTGGGAAAAAATAGATCGTTTGATCTTTTTAAAATGGCCCCTTAGAAAGCATCAAGTGTAGGCCCACTTCCCTAGTCTAAATTAAATCCCTTATTGTATCTGTCACAACATGCTCTAGATTTGTTTTGTAGCACTTATTATGATTTGTAATTACACATTTGTGGGACCCTCTATTTAATATCTCTCTCCCTCTCAGTAAAGCCCAAGGTTACAGAGACTATGCTTGCCAAACCCAACACTGTATCCACCTACAAGGAATATTTACTGAATTTAAGAATGGATGGTGGATAAATAAATGTGGAATAAAGAATGATTTCAAGACCCCAGAGGTAGAAAATTGAGTGGATGTGGTTGGAGCGGTGAGGAGAACAGGGAAAGGAAGAATAAAAAAAAAAAAAAACTATTTCAGTATATGAAAGCTCAGGGATTGTGCACTGAACATAACAAGAGTGCCAGAAAAAGGAACTCCCTTAGAAAAAAGGATGCATGATCTTTTTTTTTAAATTTTAAAGCTATATTCTACAGTCTTTACCAATAAGCTCAACTAGTTCAATAAATTTATTTTTAACTCTACTCTCTTTTTAGTATCTAGTTTGCTTTTTTATGAGAACTTTTTTGAATATTTTATATAACTGAGTCAAATTAGTAGGTCTATTTTTTCCTTTTTCTATTGAATTGATAATATTTAAATAAGTTAGCCAGGATTACATGCAGTATAACTGTAATCTTGGATAACCAGAAACTATAGCTTATCAACCTTTTAATTATTTGGTCATTTCTTTCTTTCTTTTTTTTTTTTCTTTACAAATTTGCCAGAGAGCCCTCTTAACTCTGGGGAAATAAAAAGTTAGGTTCACAAATTTTTGAAGCAAATGCTTAGCCACCATAACTAATGCTCAAAAGAAATTGTCTAAACCTTTGACTCTTTATTTACCTTAAAAGATGGATAGTAGTAACAAAAATCAGTCTTAATAATATGTTCTTATCCTGTCTACAAACAAGAAATTAACATAGAATAATTCCAAAAGGAGAAATTAGGAAAATTTTTGCAATGTTTAGAGAATATTTCTTTATGGAATTACCAATTTCCTATCTGTCCTTTCCTTATTCATTTGTAATTACCATCCTATAAAGTATAAAAATTGCTGTTTAGTTTGTAAAGTAAAAATCCAAGCTTTCAACTCAATAATTATGCCTTAAAAATGATAGGAGAGGTTGCACAGTTAAGTAGAATACTCAGTTGCTACTCAAACAAAAGTTAACTTCTTATCCTTTACCAACAAATACAGGACCTGCCTGCATCCAACAATTCTGAAAAATTTTCCCCAAGGAAAAGAAAAAGTGTGATCATCTGAAATTCAAGAAATGTCTCACACAGAAATGAAAAATGATTTCAGTGCTGTGTGGTTAGAGAATTGCCTCTCAGCCGCTTATAATATGCTTAGGACTTAACTGCTTCATAATTCGTAACCTTCAATAAAAATAATAACAGTAGTGATTATAATACATACCAGTAGCCATCAAAAACCCAAAAAGCAACAAAGCCCGTGTTTTGTTTCACTCATGCATACACAATTTTGAAAAAGAGGCATCCCAAATCTTCATATTTATTTTTCTAAAATCATGTTAATTTCTTATTTATTTCAGGCATTACTAGAGACTCAAAATTTACTGCGCACTCAGGTTGCAAATTTTACCTTCAACCTTGGATTTTCAGGGAAGTTTTACCACACAGGTAAGAAGGAGCTTTGTGTTCTCAGGCAGCTACATATAAATAGGAGAGAGGATTTTTAATGTTTCATAAGTAGGAGAAATAGAATATCCAGGCTGATTATGGGAAAAACTTGGGTGCATTATGAGTAGCCAAATCCAAAATCAATGAACTTGTTTACTTTTTCAAATACTGTTAGAATCAAGGGCAAAAGAGGAAGAGAACTGACTTTGTCAACTCAGTAAAAGAAACTATAACCGTTGTTCTAAGTGTGTCTGTGCATCTTGTGTCAGCATAGTCTAAGTAGGAAGCATAGTGACGACGATGATGATGATGATGACAATGACATAATAATGATAATAATAATGGACAGTTTTTAAACTGCAGCACAATCCAGGTGACATTTTTGTATGTATTATTTTCCTTTTGAAAACATCTAGTGATAAGAGAGGAATTTTATAGCCTCAAAGAAATTTAATAGATTTTGTGTCATCTTGCTTAATTTACCTTCCCTTGCAGGATTTTCCTTAAAAATATTACAGTGATTTGGCCCAACATACATTAATACCATCACAATCAGGTTTATATTTCTTTCCATGTCTATCTAGTCACAGTTGCACTTCTGTTCAGTCTCAGCCTCTCAACAGATTCTCAGAATGTGAACAGTGTTCACACACTACTCCATGTTCTGATATTTCTCACCTCTTTACCCATCTTTACCTCCAGAATTTGAATCTTATTTTCTGAATAGCAACATTACAATGTCAGGCACTAGTATAGAGAAAACTACGTGCATAAAAGTGATTGTTGGATAGTAATAACAAAAATGGCACAAAATGGTGTCTTACAGACTGCATTAGGGCAATATCTACTATCTGCTTCTATTTCTGCATCTCTGGTGAAAGCTAAATGCTTTGTTTAGGACTCTGCATCGTTCTTACTTCACAGTATCTTAGTGAAAACATTTCATAGTATTCTCTATGAATGCATGCAGTTTAGTGACTCATCAAAAATATCCCATGCACAGGTAGTCTTTTATTATCATATATGTAGTTCATTTACCCAAAGAGGCTTTTTAATGTTTACCCAAATAAGCTCAGCATGGTTTATTAGAATATTGAAGTAGCAATGTCTTATTGACTTTTCTTTAATGCTTTTTTCCTCCTGCTCTGAAACATGTAAATCTGTTTAAAGTAATAGGAGGAAAAGTTGTATTTAGACCAGTTGATAAATCAAATCATTGCATATTTTAAAAGGACGTTTTGCAGAGAAAGATTTGGGTCATCACATCTGCACAGGCAAAGCAATTCTAGATTACAATTTTGAAAATAGACATGGTGTTGTAAATCCTTTTCAAAAGCCCCCTCAGGAAATGAGTTCAGACCTAAGAATCACTGACTATGAAGTTATAAAGCAGGTAGCTCTAAAGGCTGTATCTACTCATGCTGGGGAAAAAAATATGGGATTATTTGGAGTTCACACACAAACAGTACTATTTTGTCTTAAATAGCTGTATAGGGTAAGTAAAGCCATTCTTCTGGCTGAAATATATCTGGATAACAGCCTCAGCTTTTATATACTTTTCATATTCAGACCTATTAAATCTGCCAGACATTTGCAGCATTAATGTTCATAGCAGGTTATAACACTTCCCATTTCTTTTTTATAATCCCAAACATGTACACACTACACATCCACTAGGAAATGAACAACACACTAGTAAATATCACAGGGACGGTTGTTGGAGTAAGGTACCAAACAACAATAACAAAAAAAGGTATTATATCTCTTAAATGGACCTTATTGACTCTTTATGTTAGTACTAACCTAATAAAAAGAAACACTATCCTGTTATGCTGTGGGGTAACTCACTTTAGAGACTAAGCAATATATATATATATAAATTTGTGGGTCCTGGAAGTTTAATTACCGTCACATAAATATGAAACTTTATTTGATTTGCTACTTTATGTGTAGAATCATTGAAATGCATCCATGATGTTTTTCAAGGGTGCAGTCATATACATTAAGTACTTATTTATTCTCAGGGATATCAAGGTTTCTTCCAGAGTGGAGTTCAACATTGATGATATTCACCATGGGGAGGGCATGCCTCTCCCCTTTCTAGTCACATTTCTATATGGAGGTTTAACTGTCACAAGCTTAACAAATCAGAAAAGTGTTTTCCTCACCTATGCACTTGATTGTGATGTGTAACCATGAGAAGATGGCCTTGTCAGAGTGAGTGTCTAAGATCTCTCCTGGGATGATCTGATTTCCCAATGCATGAAGATGCTGATTGATGAGCCTCATTGTTTTGAAGACATTTAATCACATATGCGCACTGTAATAATGATAGATTCTGCCTTCTCAGACTGCTTCACTTATTTGTATTTTCCATGTATTCTTTCCTGTTCAGTTTCTCTGTCCTTCACATGCTAAAAACAATCTCACCCAAAAAGGACACATCACTAAGCCTTTCCTAAAAGTCAGTCACTCATGGGTGCCAAATTGAACGGGGAAGGACATACTGTTGATTAAAAGTAAAAAAATAAAAGTATGGAGTTCAGAGTAAAATACTTTAGTCTGGAAATATTTAAAGCATGATTGGAATTGCACAATGAAAACTCAATTGAAAAATGGAGGCATTACAAGATTAAGATGCCTTGTAGGGATGGAAGGCTACAAATATTTTTTGTAGACATGATTTCTGGTGGCAGTCATTGCCATTCTCCATAACTAATAATGAATTGAATATGAATCAAACAATTACCTCGTATAATATTTACAAATTGGATAAATACTGGTCTTTTCTATAAGAGATCATTTTTATATAAAGAAAACAGATCTTTATATAAAACTATTAACTTTTAAACATGAAAGTAAAAAACAGTGTCACATTTATTCTCTTTTGTTTGCTTTTGCTTTTCTGTATAATATATTGGCTCAAAGACTAGACATTGGAAATGGCCTGCCTTTGTTTAAATCTAGTCTCTGACATTTCACTAGCTATGTGAACATAAACAGATCACTTTTCTGTACCTCAATTTCCACATCTCCAAAATGGGAATAATAATATCTCTCTTGTCTAGAACAGTGCATAGCATGTCATGCTATGTAAGTGTCTATTATTATTATTGCTTTTTAAAGTTTTTGTTGTTTTTTTTTCCTGCTATACACGGGCCTCTCACTGTTGTGGCCTCTCCCATTGCAGAGCACAGGCTCCAGACGTGCAGGCCCAGCGGCCATGGCTCACGGGCCCAGCCACTCCGCGGCATGTGGGATCTTCCTGGACCAGGGCACGAACCCGTGTCCCCTGCATCAGCAGGCGGACTCTCAACCACTGCGCTACCAGGGAAGCCCTAAAGCATTTTTAAGAATCAAATATTATTTTAAAATATTGAATTATTCCCCAGGCTTTATTTTCCAGTTTTGGAAATACAGATAGCTTGTAATCAATTTTCATCATCAAATGATTCTTTTCATTTAGTATGCTATTTAAAATGAGTTTGTTCTATACCCACTTATAGGGAACTGTGCCAGGTACAGTGTACAAAGAAAATTAGAAACCTCTTCTTGCTTTTGAGGAATTACAATATTTCATATATAATAGCAAATATAAGACAAACATTTGTACAAAATTGATAATGCAGACAATGGAATTGTATGTATCTGATTTTTTTTACAAGTAAATACAAAAGAAGTTTATTTCATTTTTAAATTTCTTCAAAACTTAACATACAGTTTAAAACAAAGATGATAACGATGTATTGTGAGATCTATAATACATGTGGAAGTTTTATAGTTTTAGCTTCTATTTCTAGTTTTCAGCACCTATTCTAGGTCCTTTGCTTTATAGCACTATAAGTTTTTAAAATATCCATCAATTTCTTTTTAAAAGCTTCCTAAGATTATGAATCTATAGATTTATTTTAGAATCTGAATCCATAGATAATTCAGGAAAAATTGATCTAGCCACAAAATTGAGTCTTTTGATCCATGAACACTCATATCTCTCTATTTATTTAGGGCTTTAAAAATTTGTCTCAGAAATAGTAAGGTAGTTTTTATTGTAGAGGTCTTAGACATTTTTCTTAAATTTATGGGTATTTTATGTTTTTTGATACTACTGTGAATGGCTTTTTTAGTTTTATTTTGTAATTGTTCACTGTCCTAGTATACAGAATAGCAAATGGTTTTTTAAATATTAATCTTGTAGTCTTCCTATATTCACCTATTAGTTATAATAGTTTTTATTGTAGATTCTTTAGGATTTTCAATATGTACAATCATTTCATCTGTGAATAAAGTTTTACTTTTTCCTTTCACATCTGTAGGCCTTTTATTATCTTTTTATTGAGTTGGCAAGGATCTCCATTACAATACTGAATGAAAGTGATGAGATCACACATCCTTGCCTTGTCCCCAGTATTAGGTGGAAAACATTTAGTTTGGCATTAAATATAACATTAGCTGTAGATTTTTTTTTTTGTAGATGCTTTTTATTGGGTTGAGGAAGTTCCATCTACTCCTAGTTTGCTGAGGAACTTTAAAAATGTATGTGAAAAGGGCTTCCCTGGTGGCGCAGTGGTTGAGAGTCCGCCTGCCGATGCGGGGGACACGGGTTCGTGCCCCGGTCCAGGAAGATCCCACATGCCGCGGAGCGGCTGGGCGCGTGAGCCACGGCCGCTGAGCCTGCGTGTCCGGAGCCTGTCCTCCGCAACGGGAGAGGCCACAACAAAAAACAACAACAACAACAACAACAACAACAAATATATATATATATATATGTGCATGGTTGTTGAATTTCTCCAGTACTTTTTCTGCATCTGTCAGGATGGTTATAGAGTTTTTCTCCTTGATACGATGTATTGCATTCATTTATGTATCTGATTTTAATGTCACAGCTGTGCCTTATGGAAGCTAACCTATGGCCCAAATCTTGCTAAAATTATTCTTATTTTGGCAGACTTAAAAACTTCTAGAAACACGCTATTATCTCATAACACAGATCCTCCAAGAGCGGAAACAAAGAAATGAGTGCATAAATATTTTACTAATGAATTAAAATACTTTTATCCTCTGGGAATCAGTAAAGCAAAATGATATAACATTTAAATAAGAACAAAAAATACCATATTTTTAATTAACAATGATGTAGATTTGAATCTAGATCAGGTTAGAAGTGAAAGGCTCAGTTTGAACATAGACACCTTAATGTACTAGAACTTGTGCTAAATATAGTCATGTATGAACTGTAAATTATAATCTCAAGTGTAATTTAATCATAAATTAGGTATAAAAAATAAGTGTATAAAAGGAGTCAAAAGTTTAATATTTTAATTTAGCTATATTTGAAAATATTTGAAATTCTTCTTTGGTCCCTCAGCATGACTTGATATCACATTTTTCATTAAGCAATTTCTAGTGTCATGAGCTGGGCTTATGTGGCTTTGAATTATATGACCTGTATAAAATAAGAGAAAGGCTGATGGAGAATTAATCCTAGGAGTAAAAAAGGAGGTTTTAAATATCACTGTTAACCTTGTGGGGAGTACTTATAAATTAACACACTCTCTGGTATAAAAATCACCAAGATTTTAGGATCAGTTATACATCTGTTTATATCAATAGTTGGCAAAATTTTCTTGAAATTGAGTAATTGACCTCTTTCTTGGTCAAGTATGCATTATGTGCTTCCTGCCGCTTCCAATAACAATCTGTGGAGTTTAAAGTGAATGGAAGCATTTCTCAAACATTGTATATTCAAAGCACAACAGAACTGTGGGAGAACGATCAATTCATTCATCTCATGTGACATAAAGTAGCTCTTTCTAATCTATGCCTTAGTCTGCTAAATTATGACCATGAGAGACACTTGGTCTATGGCATAAACACTTCATACTTAAAATCCATCTGAGGAAGTGACAAACTTCTCTTCATTTGGATTTCAATATTTGAAATTCTCAATATATTAACAAAAGCCAATGAACTGTAAAGTCTATATTACTAACAGTTTTGGCTCAAGTTAACAAAAATTAAGAATTTTTGTCTGCTTATCTAATTCATAGAACTTTATCACATTCAGAAGTCCTATTTCTTTACCCTTTATATATTTATATAGTGGCAACTGTTATAGCAGTAACTGCCAAGATACTAACTAAACTTGGTGGTCCTTACACCTTTTGAGAATTATGTATTATGGAATATATACCAAGAATATTGCATATACATAAATACACACAGAAATTGACATGCACTTAAGCAGACATATGAAGGCTCTAAAACTCATTGACTATATATATTAAGACTGAATTAAATTATTCCCTTATTTACTCTACTGGGGAAGTGGCATGATACAATGCATATTAAAGGGATCCAGTCTCTGACTTCAAGAATTTAATAATATAGGCAGGCAATATTTTTCATAATGTGTGGAAACATGTAAATTTAGAACACCACAGGTATAAACCAGTAGATACTATTTTTAAGAAGAAACTGATCCTAATATGTATGAATGCTAACTATCTGCAATTCACAAGGTTAAGTGCTTTAATAGATTGATCTCCTTGACTCTTCACAAGAGCCTATGAGATAGATATTCATTTCCCCATTTTTGCACCAGGAAACCAAGACTCAAAGAAGTTAACTTATACAAGATCACATAGCCAAATATATGCTTTAACAAATACATGCTTTAACCATTTCATGGCATTACTTCATGATTCATGCAATCTTTACTATAGGGCACTCAAATGGAATATTTAAAGAAGAGTCTTTTAAAAATTTTCCTTAATATTTATCTAAGTAAAGGATATAAAATCACCTATAAAACATACTCCAGTTTAAAAAAAAATAATCCAAATAAATATACCTCACACCATAAGCCAGGATTTGTTACTTTACTTATTTAGTTAAGTATCTAGAGAGCACAAAGGAAACAATTCGTATACTATTGATTCAGAATATTTTAAAATTGGACTGAATGTTGTAAAATTGTACAAAAACTATGAATTCATACAGTGAAAATGTTTTTGGATAGCCTGCAACATAGTGAATTTCCTTGGAACTAAGTTGCTGATGTTTTTCCTTCCTTTCTTTAATTTTTTTTCACTTGTGGCATGACAAATACTTTTTTGTATGCATTGGGCACTGTTAGCAAATTTTCCTAATAGAGGATGAGAAATTAATATTAGTTTTAAATTCCCAAGTCAAGTTTCTATTGTGTTAATAGATTTATTGTTTACATTTTATAAAATATTTATATCAAAATGAGAAATGTTTTTTCATAATGGTAGGTTTAAAATGTAAGGACACAAACGTATTTATACAGTAAGACCTCAACTTTTAAAAAAATAAGTAGAAAAGGATTTAACGAAAGATACCAAAACGTTTCCACTGGGTTAGTTCTGGAAGATGTTTTTTTGTTTGGTTTTTTGTTTTTGAATTTTATGTATCACTTGTCTATCCTTCTCACATTTCTTCAGTAAGCACATATTATTTTATAATCAGAAAAAAATCAACAAACTTCATCAGTTAAATTCAAAGATTTTTCAGCTCAATATTAGACACATGCAGAAATATTTTTAAGAGTAAAAAGAATAATCACCTTTGACTACACTTCCCCTATGTATGCAACAAAGGAGAGAATTAAGAGTCAATGGATTTAAAACAAAAATAAATTGACTAATACTCAGTCTTTTTTTTTATTACCACCATATGCTAGCTATTCTAAACAATGTCAGTGATAAAATTCCCCTAAGTTCTAAATCTAAACAACTATCTGCACTTACCACCCCCCAACCCGCATTGCCTCTGATGTAATTTAGGTTATGGTCATTTCTCTTTTATTAGAACAACACAGAATCAGATTTATGTATCAGGAGCAAGAAGAATAACAAAAATATGACAAGCATAACCTTTAGCTAATATAGAATTTTCATTTAAGCCATTTTATATGCTGTACAGGGACTGAAGAGGAGGATGAAGGAGATGACCTTTTACTTCGTTCTGTGGATGAGTTCTGGTGGTTTCCTCACATGTGGAGCCACATGCAGCCCCATCTCTTCCACAATGAGTCATCTTTAGTGGAGCAGATGATTCTCAACAAGGAATTTGCACTGGTGAGCACATTTTATTGCAGAATTTTTCAAACTATGAGTTGTGATATATTGTAAAATCAATTTATTGGATTTAATCTAATAGAAATATAGAGAATGGATCAGAAGATACTGGAGTGCATCACAAGTATTAAGGGTACACATTGCTTTGTATTATTTCATTTCAGGCACGTGTGTGTATTTGTATTGGGTCGTGATGTGCTGTAAAATGTATTTCAGAAAAATTGCTCGTTGACAGAGAGTTACCATCTCCTGATTTATGGAAGGGTTATTCTATGAAGAGGGAAAATAGTACTTTCTCCATTGTATTCCTAGTACATGATAATTGCCGTCTCAAAAAGTATTTGTTGCAAGGGTGAATAAATAGACGGATAAACTGAATCATTAGAACAATGACTCTAGATCAGTGCTTCTCAAACTTTAGCATGTAACTTTTTCACCTAGAAGACTTTTTAAGACACAGATGCTAGGCCTACTCCTGGAGTTTCTGGTTTGGTAGATTGTCCAAGAGGCCTGAGAATTTACATTTCCAACAAATTCTCAGAGGATGCCTTTGCTGCTGGGGCTGCACTTTGAGAACCACTGTTCTGGACTAGCAGTTGGCAAACTGTGGCCTATGGGTCAAATCTGGCCTGCTGCTTGCTTTTTATTGTTCCTGAGCTAAGATAGTTTTGTTTGGGGTTTTCTAAATTATGTCTTAAAATGAAAAACAAAGACAATAATATTCTGTGACATAAAAATTATATAAAATTCAAATTTCAATGTCCATAAATAAAGTGTTATTGGAACAGTACCACAACTCTTCTCTTTATGCATTGTCTGCAGCTGCTTTTTCACTGCAACAGCAGAGTTGGGTAGTTGCAAAAGAGATTATATGTCCCACAGAACTCAAAATATTAACTATCTGGACCTTTACCGAGAAAGTCTGTCCACCCCTGTGCTAGATACCAAGTAAATCATGTATACTTTTAACAATCTAATGAAAGAAATATTTTCCCCAGAAAAATACTCAGATGCATATTCTCACGTCTTCAAACAGTGTGGCAGTTGGTCACAAGGGGTATGTGAATTCCCCAAAGACCCTGGGCCCCAGTTAAAATCTCTGTCTTCAAGTTTTCATTTAAAATAAACAGTTCATTTGCACTGTATGATTGCTGATATGTTTAATTTTTTAAAAGCCAAATTGGGAGGCGTAGACCCAAGGCCATATGAGTACAATGATATTTAATAATGTTATGCCTAGCTATTATGTTAATGGATCATCCCTCTTTCCATCTCTAAAGCTCCAGGACTGTGTCAAATCTGCACATAGTATCCTTACTAGTAAGTGTGGGACTATAAAAAGCAGTTAAGATCATTAACTCAATCGCCAGATTTCCTGTGTTTGAATCCTGACCTTCCATCAATGGCTGCTTGATCTTGAACAAAAATTACTTAGACTCTGTGTCTCAGTTTCCCCATCTGTAAAAATGAAAATAATCATGACAACTACCTCATACGACTGTTTTGAGGAAATGTATAATGTACTTAGAGCAGTGCCTGGAATACAATAAGTATTCAATGGGTGTTAATTAATCAATTATGATATTTCTAAATCCAGACAATTATGCAGTTGTCTTACTTTACAAAAGCCAAATATTTTTCAAAATATGGATTTATAAAAGTTTGATCCTCACTTACTTTTGAGGAATGTCTAAAAATTTTGTACTGCTTCATAACGTTGGAAAATTAAGTAAATATTCCTTTTTCAAAAAAATAAACTTACCTTGAGTAAGCATGCTCAGTGAATTCTCTCAGTGCAGTTACCTTGAAAATAGACTGTGTTTATCTTTTGGCTTAAACCTCCCCCTCACCTCATTCCCACTCTGAAGCCTTGCTTTTTACGCATGTAGATTATATTTCATAATGGTTGATTTCACCTGTTTGTGTAATTCTTTTTTAAAGCCATGCTGAGAGCACTGGGAAAGACTCAGATGTAATTGCTTTGTAATGAAATGCTGAAAGCTATTTAGAGTCCATTCAGAACAATTACATCTGTTTAGTCGGTGGCTAGAAACTAGACTGAATCCTATAAATATACTTTGTAAGAAAAATATCTTATTTTATGTTGCATAATCAAAATATGATAACTAAAGTGAAGTCCTTTAAACACACATACTGAAATGACATTGTCCTTTTCCTTCTGGTGTTGAGCTCAATAAAACTCAAGATTCTTCAAGCGGTGACATTCAGAACCCCACCTTTAACTGTAAACCTAGGATGGCAATATGTGTGTTGTTCAAAGAGCCAGGAAATGTATTTCTTTCTTATTAAATTATTATCTTTCTGTGCCCAGATGACACTTCAAAACCCTCAACAGTATCAAGATGGAACAGGGTAGTGGAAAGCACTACATTAGCAGGCTAAATTTTATCCCTGACAGCTAGTAACAAGTTCTAATACAGCTGGCAACGCATTTAATATCTTTATGCCTCAGTTTCCTCCCCTGAGATGGTAATGATTCCTTTTTTCACTCTAAACTACAGAGTTTTTAGATAATTAATTTAAATCAACTCATCTGCCAACCAAAAGCACTGGGCCAGATAATCCACTGATCAATTCCAATTCCAGAATTCTTTGATCAGTGACATCAGTCCACAAATTTGGAATGGACATCTTGAAATACTCATCTAGCTGCAATCAAAGCAATTATGGGAAAAGATTTTCAAACTAAATGACCAATTTATACTGAAAAAAATCAAAAGTGTTTAAATCTCTTTTTTATTTCATCCTGACATTCCTCCCTATTCCTTGATATGACCTTGGCTGGCAGAGGGACTATCAGTGAAAGGCACAGTTGTTCTCACAACATTTACAAAAATGATTCAAATAATATATTAGTAGCTTCATACTGATATTTCAAAAACTGTTAATCAATTGAAATGGTTCCATTTGTAGAATTTCTCCGAATTCTCTCTGGATAGAGTTTATTTTCTGTTGTAATATGTCTAAAGGTCATGAGAAAAACATATTGCAAGGCTGTTTCTTTACTATTTCATTATGTCAGAAGAACTATTACTGTACAGCATCATTATTTGTTAATCCATGCACACTTATGTATGCAGTGTGAATGTTTGTGTGTATGTATGGGCAGTTACATGTATGTCTGTGTTTAATCCATGAGCACATGTGTATGCAGTGTGAGTGTGTTTGTGTGTGTGTATATATATATATGTACGTATGTTTAATCCATGAGTTTGGTGCATGTGTATGTTTTTCTAGAAGCTGTTAATCTAATGATTAGCACAGGCAACCCAGATATGGTCATTGCAAGACACTATACTTGTATGGCAGTAGGGTAGGGGGAAATAATTTTGATCCTTTTTTTTTTTTTTTTTTTACTAAATCATACTTTTAGTATTATTAGTTTTATTTTAGTGACTTTTTATTGTCACTAAATAAAAACAACACTTCAAAGATGACAATAGAGGGCTTCCCTGGTGGCACAGTGGTTGAGAGTCCTCCTGCCAATGCAGGGGACGTGGGTTCGTGCCCCGGTCCGGGAAGATCCCACGTGCCGCTCGCGGCTGGGCCAGTGAGCCATGGCCACTGAGCCTGCGCGTCCGGAGCCTGTGCTCCGCAACGGGAGAGGCCACAACAGTGAGAGGCCCGCGTACCGCAAAAGAAAAAAAAAAAGAGCAACTGTGAACAATCTTTGTGTCGTAATGACCTGCACACTAAATCAGCTATGTAGAGATTTCAGTTAAAAAATAAAGGAGTATGATAGTGGAATTAATGGCACAATGAAATAAAACAGAGGGAGAGCTGCCTTTCAATAGCTGCTAAGCCTCTATGTTTACTAAATGATGCAGTATGTAGCCTTGTGCTGTACATCAAATACCAGATGTCAAAAACCCCTGATAATTACAACTAATAACGTATTTCAATGGTAGGAAATGTAGAGAAGGTAGTAATATTTAATCAAAAGTAAAACTGTGAACAAATATTGATTTGATGAAAGTTTACTCTGGAGCAAATAGTATATTTTGGAGGTTCAGTGATGTATAAGGCAGTCTGTACACTCAGCAGACTGGACATTTACATGAACATGGACTTAGATAAAATATAAAGAAGCAAAGCATCCAGGCAAAGAAAAGTTTAAAATATTTTCAGCAATTGCATGAGTTCTTGAGGGATCCTTCAGAATACACACCCTTGTGGTACAAATATCCATGTAAAATACTTTGGTAATTGAGTGTATTTGTCATCTATTGCTTCATAACAAATTAGCCCAAGATTTGACAACTTAAAACAACACACACTGATATCTAACAGTTTGTGTAGGTCAGAAAGTTGAATATGACTTAACTGGATCCTGCAGTTCAGGATCTCTTAAAAGACTTCAACCAAGGTGTCAGCTGGGACAGCAGTCATTTCAAGCCTCAACTAGAGGGTGGACCAGCTCTGAAGTTCACTCACATGGTTGTTGACAAGATTCAGTTCTTCATGGATTGTTAGACTATGGACCTGAGTTTCTCCTCAGTTGTTGCCTGGGTCCACCCTCAGTTCCTCACCATGTGGGCCACTCTAGAGGGCAACTCACAACATGCAGATTGTTTTGGCTCTTTGAAGTTCTTTGAAATTACCATATGAATTGTAGGATCAGCTTATCAATTTCTGCACAATGGCCGGCTGGAATTTTGATAAGGATAGCGTTGAATCCACAGATCAATTTGGGAAATATTGTCATCTTAACAACATTAGCTCTTCTGATACATAAACATGGGCTGTTTTTTCATTTATTTAGGTGGTCTTTAATTTCTTCCAACAATATTTTATAATTTTCAGGGTCTATGTTTTGCACTGCTTTTATTAAAAATAATCCTAAGTATTGTATTCTTTTTAATGCTATTGTAAATGGAAATTTTTATTAATTTCATTTTCACATTGTTCATTTTTATGCATAGAAGTACAATTGATTTTTGTATATGGACCTTGTAACCTTCAAATTTGCTGTACTCATT